ATTAATTTGAATCTAATATGTTATTAAAAATAAAAATCTACTATTGCAGCTACGGAATCTTACAAAAAGATTCTTAACAAAATTTCATCGACTGTAAAAAAAAATCTTAATTTTGTCATTATTTTTTTTTTTGTTTAAATTTTGCACCTTATGCTTCGTTTCAATGATATGAGAATTCTGTACAATTTTTTTTATTTTTTTTGTTTCACTTTTTACTTCTCTTAAAAAGGATTCATTTACTTCAATTGTTTGAGTATATTTCAGGTGTGACTCTTCACTTATCAATTTATATTTTCAATAATTTATTCAATGTGGAGCTATCTAGCGTGTTTTCCCGTAATTTCTAGAAATTATTTTTAATTTTAATTCCTTGGTCTTTACCGACATTAAGTCTATATGCTAAATTTACTCTTCACATTTCTGCTTTCAATTATTTCAGGCAAAAGGCAGAAATTCTCTTAAATGCGAAAAAAACTTTTTTTCTTGTTTGTTTCCTTAATTTACTTTTCATTACTATGGGCGATGCTACTTTTTTATATTTTATCTTCATTATTTACTTTTTGTACAAAATGAGAAAAAAATAATCACGATTTTATTTATATTTAATTATAATCATACTAAACTTATGAACACATATCCTGGATTTTTTTAATGATTCTTTTATTTTTATTCGTCGAGAATTTTCATGAAGAGATGGAAAATTTGGCTCCTCTGTGGCAACAAAACTTCATGTCCATTCCTTGGTTGTCATCCTTAACAGCACATCCAACTGTAAACAGTCTTTAACCCGAGCTACACACTTTTAAATCGTCATGACTTTGTTGTGTCACTCGGGATAAGTCAGAATGAAAAAAAAATCATTGAAATAGTTCTTATCAAGAGGTAGAACAAGAATTCTACATAATTAATGACTGTTGTGTCTCTCTATTTTGACATAAATGTGCCTGTTCATAATTATGTACGCTTTGTGCTTCATGTTCTTTGCTACATTTACGCAATTAATTATTTTCTGAGGAAATGATATTGAAAGGCTTAGATTTTTCACGTAGATAAAAAGGAGGTGTTTTGCATCTTATTAGAGATGTCGTTTTAGAGAACTTGATTTGAACGTTTTGTTGTAGCTTTAAAGGTATCTTGTTGGAATATATTCAAGACTTATTGATATAAGTCGGTAAGTATTTTTGAATAAAAGTAGGAATCGAACTCACACATTCCTACAATTTTAATCACATGGACTTACCACAAAGCTATCATAAGTTCCATCAAATCTAAGCAGAATGCCAACTTAAACTATTAATCTGCTCTAAACAGATATCACCCTCATTACAGCTTTACTAAGGAACCTCCTCACTTTAATGTTAATTTTCTTCTCAGAATAAATTTCCATAATACTCAAAAATTCTTAACAAAGCTTCTTAGTCTCACCTCTTGATAATATTCCATTAACTTTCAGCATAAAGCATGAAGGAAATAAAAAAAACATTTTAAATGCAGATTGTCTCGCTTGAATATTAATTCACAATTTCCTTTTTTCACTCGAATTTAAATTGCACATTTTAATGTAAAATTCAACAAAGACATGATCACGAGCCCCTGTTCTGTTCGAAATTCGGTCTTTATTAAAAATTCAAATGTGCATTTTTTGCTCCTTTTTATTTGCGCTCATTTCAATTTGAGGAATTTTTCGGAAGGTTCATCAACTTTTGTGACTCAATTAAAATAGCACTTAACTCATCATTACATGCAGTTCTTATTTGAAATTTCACGAACGAGAAAAGTTCTCGCAAAGCTTTAAAATCGCAATCTTTACAGTTATTAAATTATATTTAAATTAATTTTTGATAAAATTATCGCTCTTGTTGTAATTTAATTAGTTCCTTGTGGGTTGATGAACTTTAAACAGTTGATGATGAATTGTGTGGTTGTTGCTATTGGATTCTTTGCTAAAGTGATGAATAGAGTTATTGAAGCGTTACAGGAGGACTAGACAAGCAATTAGGTGCCTTTGTAGAGGAATCAGCTTAGAGTTTGGTTCGGAAAACTCAAAGTTTGTTGGTTCGAAGCCTTAAAATTGTTCTGAGATTAAAGCAAGGATGTTTGAAACTTATCTAAATGCAACTTGGGTTCGAACCCAGGTCGCTAGAATCATTAGCTCAACTTTCTTACCAACTTCAACACTGCCGCTTTTTCAGTTCTATTTTCAAATCCAATATTGCTTCACTTAATATTAGACATAAAATCCATACATTCACTTCCAGAAACATCCAAACATTTAAAAATTCCTCGCATGAAATGAGTGCGCTTAATGAGCTAATTAAATTGCAGTTCCTCTTAATGATGTTTTAATCTTTTTGTTCGTGAAACACTCCATTGCTTCTTATCGTAATTATTTTCCGAAAGTGCCCTTTTCTTTTGTTAGGAGTGGGAAAAAGGAAAATGAGATAAAAATGAAAAAAGGCGGAAAACTTAACATTCTTTCCTATTTACATTGTGCTGAATCCATTTTCAATCTTTAATTCTTTTTTTTTACATTTAATATCCTTGAGGGCATCAATAGGGCAATTAAAATTAAGAATAATTCACTTCCACATCCTATAATCGTAATTAACAATTATTGCTTTCGAAAAAAATTGTCTTTTAATTCCCAACTAATGCTTCATAACCTATAAATTTTATCCTTTACGCTTTTCTAGATAAGGAGATTTATGCTGTAAATCAGAATATATAAAGTAAATATGAAATCCTATCAGATTATACAGCAGAATCTCCATTTCTAGATTCTCTCGTTTTTGGGGAGTTGTTCATAAATGACGTCCAACATTTTAAGGTATATGAAGCTCTTTAAGCTTGCTTGGTATTTTGTAAATTAGATATGAAGTGCATCTAGGTGTCCTGAATTGAATCAGTGGTTGGTAACATTTTATAGAGCTTCAGTTTTTGACACACGTGTTATATATTAACCTAGAAAGCATCTCGATTGAAGATTGTCTCTCTTGAAACATTTCTAGACATCTTGATCATCGGAATTGATTAAAAACTAGATGATTAGAGTTAAAATCCCAATTTTCTGATAGACGTCATTTATGAACAACTCCCGAATTCTTTCCCACCATTCAAATTTATTTCGATTGGCTTTGTTATGACTTTAGGGTTTATAAGTTTCTAGTTCTCACTTCCTTTTGTCTCTATATATTTAAAAAAAAATTCACATTCTGTTCAATGCTGTTTGCCAAATGGTAGGAAAATTTGAAATATCCAAAAATTTTCCATCATTCGTAGTTCCCTTGATTCAATCTTAATTTAAATTAAAGAATTTTTTTTACTAGCAGAAAACTTTCAGAAACTTTTTGCTTCTCTCGTCGACTTGACTTGCTTTTTTATGCGTTCGTTTACGTTTTTTTTGTTTTTTTTTATTTTTTTATTTTTCGTTTTTTTTTGTTTCATTTTTTTTCATGGAAAATTTTTTTTAAATCAAAATTTTTTGACTAACGACTTTTTAATGTCAAAATTTTTTTATAAATGTTTTTAATGGAATGAATTGAACAAATTTTAATTTTTTAAGATGATAACAAATTTTATAAAATTTTCAGAGATCAAAAATTTGAAGCTTAATTTTGAAAAATTTATTTTTATGATTTCCTGTCAGTTTTAAGCGCAAATTAAGTTCTTTAAAGTTCTGATTCAATCAACTTAATGTTAATAATATATAATTTTTATGGAGTTTCACATCATGAGGATATAAAAGAATAGCTTAAAGCATACAAAAAGTATTAAATTACTTATAATTTTCTTTCACATCCTTTTTTGAGGAATTTTCTTTCATTATGGTTGGAAATGAGTTTTTGATGAGAATCCAAATAATTGTAATGCTTTAATTTTTCTCATTGAGTATAAGATTCATGATTTTAGAACATTATGTTCAAATGTTTCTAATGAAATTTTAAATTATTAAAGAGATGAGCATTTGATAAGATGAGAATCTCCTGACTAATGATTAATTTCAGTCCAACATTTAATTTTTCAAACTTATTCATCCGCAAAATATCTTTCTATTTAAGGATAAAAGCTTTTGTAGATTAAAAGAATCATTAGTCATCATGTCAAGACTAAGTTTTATGATAACCATACAATAAGTGACAGTTTTATAACCTTTAGAGTTGTCTAAAGATCTTTTCTTGATGTCAAAACAATTTACTAGTAAATCTTGGAAGAATAAATGAAGCTTTCAGATAGAACTTTGCAACACAATTAAGTTTAAGATTGGAAACAAGTTTCAATACTTTATTGTGGCTAAGTTGAGTCTATTTTAAGAGTTTATGGAATCTAAATTTGAATGAAAAAGCTTCAACAAATGAAATTTTATTTGTTTGATTGTGTTGCTTCTGTTAAACAACAGAGAACTTTAATCAACAAAAAGATTATCTTGATCTTTACTTGATAATTCAAGAAACAACAAGTTAAAATCATGATATTTAAAGATTCGGAGAATCAAAGTTAAAATGCAATCAATAAAAACATTTAATCATATAAACTTTTTAGATTTTATAAATTTTGTAAGGATCTACTTCAGTTCAGCTTAACCTTTTTGTAATTGAAGATCACTAGACTGATTCGGCGGCACATAAAATTGCCAAAGCTATTATAAACTTGAAGATTCTTCATATTAACAAGTGTTTATAGTCTTTGATTCTATTCAAAAGATCCATGAACCACTTCTAACCTAAATGGCTAGCTAACAATGTCAGGCACCAGATAAGTCGTAAATTCTCTTTACTAGCTGCTAAAAGACTTAAGCTATTAGTCATTTAGAACTGCTTTCTCAACTTTGGCTTCGAACTTATTGTGTGAGTTCTAATCACTGTCTTTGAACTGTAATTTATAGCCTGAGATCCAATATAAAGTACATCTGATCAAAAACAACTAGAACATGTCAAAACAGAAAATCTCAAAATAATCAATTGCCCAACCTCTTCCTCACCAACCATATGTTAAGCAATAAAAGAATCATAACAAAAAACTCATTATCGTGGAAACAATCGTCATTACAATCAAATGAGAAAGAAATCATGGCTATAATAAATTAGCAGCAACAGTAACTGATTCATCTCCGCTAATCTCATGATGATTATGATGATGATGACTTAATAAGATATATGAACGAACAGAAAATAAAAACTCGAATGATGCTTCCTTTTTCTTCAATAATATGCTTTCATCATAAAAGAAATTCTTTTATTAGTTCATCTCAATTGCTTCATCCCGTCCTCATATCTCGCATTTATTTGAAAAGTTTTGAGACTAATTTGATGATCAACAAATTGATTTTATGATAAAACCAATAACAACCATTTTCAAACGGCTACGAAACGATGATGTGTGGAGCTGACATTAGGACTGCAATCGTGGCGACTATTGTGAAGAATGTAAAAATAATAAGGCACAGTCTATCAACGACCATAGCAGCATATTTCCAATCTTTCGCCACTCCTGAATCATCGTCCTCTTTTCGTATCTGTTTGTGTGTGTGTCGTGGGATGGAAAAAAAGAAGTAAGAAAAAAAAAAGATTGATGAACAAAAATATGTCAAAAAATGTCGAGTCAACATGAAGAAAATGTGTCTTTATTGGCAATATGAACTGCTGCCAAAGATAATCATTGGAATGAAGATAAAAGTGACTTATAGGCACATAATAATCTGAAGTAGTTCAACGACCAAAGCTCTGGTTGTAAATTTTTGCTTCCTTGGCTATTTGCCCGAAGGATCGGGTATGCTGTTTGTTCCTTTATATCTTGCAAAGTTTTGTTCTATTCTATTCTTATCCATTCGTTTTATTATTGTGCTTGATTTATTTTTATTTTTATGAAATTGATAAAACTTTTCGTTTAAGACATTGGCACTGAGGGGAAAATATTTGCTGTCATAAACTGAATTGAGGTTGCTATAAAGTTTTTCAGTAGTTTTGTTTGTGAAAATGAGTAGGGATACATGATATGATAGGAATGCAAGCCTATTGATCCCTAAATTCGATCTTTAAAGATGAAACTTGAAGATCAGATCTCTCAAACTAAGGTTCGCGAGGATTCATGTGATCCTCTCGCTTCACAAAACAGCACCTTAATTTCTCCTCAGTGTATCATCACAAATAGCAAAAGATAAACTCAAATAATGAGCATAGATAATACAATCGGAGAAGATGATCATAAAAAAAAATTCACAGCATCTCGTAAATTGCTGGTGCTGATAACGATCCATCATAAAAAGAGGAAAGAAAATAACAAAAACAACATGCTACTCACTTGATCCGTAATAAATCGTATCTCTTTTAATATCAATGCCAATTCATAATCAGCTGACGATGTAAAACTGCATGCGTGCGGTGCAATTGCATCAGGCATTCGTCCGCCTCCAATTGTTCCAATGCTACAATTGTCATCATGTCTGGAAGAAGGAGGAAGAGGAAGAACCAAAACGTTTAAAGATTGACTTAGTTTGTCTGCTGTTTCACAGGGCAGGACGACATCCAATATTATTATACATATTACAGAGTTTATAAATATTTTCAATAATTATTCAAATGAAGAACAAGAAGAAGTTGAACCGAAGAAGGAGAAGGTTGACAACATATAACATTTTTTTTTTCAATTATTTTTTTACACATATAAAAACACACCAAAAAGAGAAAAAAAGAAGAAAAGAAAAAGAAAAAAAGAAGAAACACTTCATTACCTATAAACAGTTCTAAAATAAGGTTGATTGTGTGGCAGTGTACCTCCTGGAGTTAACGGTCTACAATTATGCCGAAAATCATCGTCGATGTCTAATACATTAGCTAAAAGTGACTTTGAGGATCTGTGGACGAAGTTTGTTAATAAAATGTTTGTAAAGTTATAGATTCAAAAATTTATGGATTAATTAAAAACGCTATATTTTTGGTGAGCAGCACATGACAGGAAAGTGGAACTTTGGCTGGTGGTTTCTTCTGTACCCTTGAGTTCACTCTTGTCAAGAGAGCAAGTAACTTTAAGTCAAGACAACTAGCTACACTAGTCGAGAAATCTAGTGACTCTAGTTGAGAAACTTAGTGACTCTAGTCGAGAAACCTAATGACTCTAGTCAAGAAACCTTGTGACTCTAGTCCAGATATATAATGACTCTTGTCAAGTCACCTTGTGACTCTAGTCAAGAAACCTTGTTGCTCTAGTCGAGAAGCCTATTGACTCTAGTCGAGAAACCTAGTGACTCTAGTCCAGAAACATAATGACTCTAGTCAAGTCACCTTATGACTCTAGTCAAGAAACCTAGTGACTTTAGTTGAGAAACTTAGTGACTCTAGTTGAGAAACTTATTGACTCTAGTCGAGAGACCTAGTGTCTCTAGTCAAGTCACCTTGTGACTCTAGTCAAGAAACCTTGTGACTCTAGTCCAGATATATAATGACTCTTGTCAAGTCACCTTGTGACTCTAGTCAAAAAACTTTGTGACTATGGTCGAGAAACCTATTGACTCTAGTTGAGAAACTTTGTGACTCTAGTCGAGAAACCTAGTGACTCTAGTCGAGAAATCTATTGTCTCTAGTCAAGTCACCTAGTGACTCTAGTCAAGTCACCTATTGACTCTAGTCGAGAAACCTAGTGACTCTAGTCCAGAAACCTAATGACTCTAGTCAAGTCAACTTGTGACTCTAGTCAAGAAACCTTGTGACTCTAGTCAAGAAACCTTGTGACTCTAGTCAAGAAACCTTGTGACTCTAGTCAAGAAACCTTGTGACTCTAGTCAAGAAACCTTGTGACTCTAGTCCAGATATATAATGACTCTAGTCAAGTCACCTTGTGACTCTAGTCAAGAAACCTTGTGACTCTAGTTGAAAAACTTTGTGACTCTAGTCGAGAAACCTAATGACTCTAGTCGAGAAACCTAGTGACTCTAGTCCAGAAACCTAATGACTCTAGTCCAGATATATAATGACTCTAGTCAAGAAACCTTGTGACTCTAGTCCAGAAACCTAATGACTTTAGTCAAGAAACCTAGTGCATCTATTCAACCATTATTAAAGTCCCATTTTACAGCAATGAGCTCCTCGAATTCACTACGACCTAAAATAATAATTTACCGTTCTCGAAGTTCAACATCCTGAATATTTGTTGCTTTACGTTCAGACGCATCCGACGTCGGCGTCGGTGGATATTCCATTACAACTCGTTCAGGTCGATGCATTCGTAGAATACAAGGCAACCAGTACAGAAAAACTATTTTCACCTGCACAATTTTCATTTTCAATTTTAATATTAGTTTAGGGTGTGTATTTTGTGTTTATTTTGGGAATGAGGGATTAATGTGTCATTTTTGGGATGATTTATTTTAAAGTTTGAGTGCAAAATAGTTTGCAGTTTAATTTTTTTAAAGAGGTAGGAAGAAAAAATTTTTGAAAGAGAAAATTTCATCAGAAATTTTTAAAAATAACCAATTGATATATTTTCAATGGATACAATAGAGTCAATATTGATTCAATGGATTACTTAATCAAAATATTCAACAGATTAGTTATTGAAAAATTGCAAAGATAGACAGATTCTTATCGGATAAACACCAATAAGTCCTCTCATCAAGTAGATACTAATGTCAACAAGAAAGAATAAAATTTTCATACGTGCGTGAGTATTGGTGGATTCATAAAGAGCAATTTATATCAACAAAGTCATAAAAAGGAAAAGTTTCGTTTTTACGTCTCTTTATGGAATAAGACTAATGACGTTATCGCTATGATTCTATTGGAGAAATGGTAATATCCTGCAAATAGGAAAGCTTTGCTAATGTCTTAGTCCGTGCGTCTTGTAATGACGCTTCACTTTGCTTATTCCACGTAGGAAGGAGGCAACTACGACCTCAAATGTCGCTTGATTACAGCACTGGCTATTCTAATATGCCACTGGGCTACTAGTCTAAGGCTTCTCTTAGCAGCCATATAGTCAAATCCAACCCTAAAACCCAGCAAATCATCACCATCATACCTCATTTAAAGACATAAAACAGAACATCCAAAATAAATGTTATGTGACCAGAAACAGCCCCTGTGGAATGCTAAACATAACATGTACTCCCCCAACAAGATGAAATTCTCATAATTTTTGGTTCCACATCCTCTCTTGTTGTCAGTTATTTCGACATAACTATCCTCATAATACGCAAATATATAGCCATATAGGAAATAATATAACAAATTTCATTTTTCCACGTCCTGTTCATAATCTGCTTCCACAGCATCATAAAAGTATCATGTCTTTTAGTTTACTAGAGTCTATTTTTTTTTTGGAAGGGCAATAAATGATGTTCATGTTGTTTCATATTCATATGAGAATATTCCCTAAAATTGAATATTTATGTTTGGTGTTTTATGCTGTATGTTATGCTGTGTACACAACACTTTAAATAGTAAAATACCCTAAGCAGGGGGAAATGGACGATTTTTATAGGTTAAGTCTTCATTAAGGATTTCTTTGTTTTAAAATTCTAGACAGAAAATAAGTTGGAACTCTGAATAGACATTGCCAAAAAAACTTTAAAATGGCTTAACATTCTCTTTAATAAGTCCCACAAGAAATATCTTTTCATGAAAATATTCCGAAAATTTCCATAAAAATTTATTTATTTAAATAAAAACTTCCTCAAACTGCTCGCAGAAGTGTGAATATGAAGGGTGAAAGTTTAAGCATGGCAAAAATATTTAAAGGACGAAAATATGAGACTACTGAGAATAATCATAGCTATCCTCCCATTAATCATAGTCTTATGGGTATAATATCGAATTTTTTTTTTAAATTGTTGTAATGAAAGTTAAGTAGAATTAGCAGCAACTGTTGGATGTAGAATAGATTGGAAATAGTTCAGAGTTCAAATTGAGAAATTATTCTAATTGTTATGATATCTCTGTGGTGAAATCTTCGTTGATTGGCAATTATCTAAGAGACTTTGCTGAACTAGTAGTTGGTTGGTGCCAAAAGATTCTAGAAGATTTAAAGTTCAGCCTTCAATGTGCAAAAATTCAAAAACTACTTCAAAATGTTAAATAAAATTCGATTTGCTCCACAATCTTGTAGCTAGTCTCTTCTTTGTTTTTTGATTTTCCACATCATTGAACTTTTCTAGCATAAAATAAAGCATGAAGCATGAAACTCGATTCAAAATGACTCATTTTCCATTATGATTGACTTTTTTAGCACATTTTTTGAAATTATATTAAACGATGCGTTTGTAGCTACTTGATCTTTATATAGCCATCAACTGTAGATGCTTTAATGCTTAATGTTGCAAAGTTGATAAAATTTCATATTGCGCGCTAAATGTTGCGCAGTGTGATTTTTTATTATGGCGCAGTAAAATGGTGCGCAGTGTAATTTTTTTATTATGGCGCAGTAAAATTGTGCGCAGTGTAATTTTTTATTATGGCGCAGTAAATTGATGCGCAGCATGATTTTTTATATGGCGCAGTAAAATGCTGCGCAGTACGATTTAATATTGTGCGCATCATAATTTTATGAATATTATATACATTCCAACTAATCAAAATTTTCACTTTCATGCTTCAAGTTCTTTATTACTTGTTTCACTTTATTTGCTGTACCAAAAGTTTATTCCCTTCTTTCTCCTTCAATCATCGCTTTCGTCGCTTTTTTATGTTTGATTCTTCCTTTCTTTTACAATTTAAAAGGAGCAAAAAAATCGTCATAGATGAAGAGAAAGTAGCTATAAAAATTAATGACTCTACATTAGATTAGATTGAATGGATCAAAACAGCATGAACATTGTAGCATTATTGAGAGCACAAGTATCATGAAGACGATAATGTTATGAGAAATAAATTTTTGATTAGGGGCCATTCACTTATTACGTAACGCTTTTAGGGGGGGAGGGGGGTCTAAGATTTTGTTACGGTTCAAACAAGGAAATTTTATTTTCATACAAATTTTGTTACGAGGGGGGGGGGGTCTAAAAAGTCATTTTTTCGCGTTACGTAATAAGTGAACAGCCCCTTATTTAAATTGTTAAAAGAGCTTTATTTCCTTTCTCATTGTTCTGTGAATAAGAAGCTTATAAGAATTGCAAGAAAAAGGAAGGAGATGGAGATCAAATGACTGTGAAATCAACTTTCAATCGTTGAATCAATATGCTGCAAATTCTGTCTCTATCAATGTTGTTTACTTTTCCGATGGAAGCTTCAACATGCTGAATTAATCATGACTTGATGGAAATTTTATGGATGAAGACATTGCTAGATTGTAATGGAAAGAGACTTTTTGATTCTGAGAACATGAATTAATAAAGAATCTTGTCTTGATGTTTCTTACATTATTTTCAGGTACTTATTAAAGCTATTATTGATTAGGGTTCGTAGCTGGTGAACTTCTGTAGACAATACAAAGCTCAACTTGTTATCGCCATGAACCGCATACAAAACACAAACCAAAGATGGATCTTAAAGTCTAAATAGCCAGTCTTTGTTCAACAAGTGAATAAGCATGAACAATAAATAATAATTGACATTAAAGCTTAAATATCATGAACTTTCATCCTCAGAAAAAAACTGCTGAAGCAAATATTTCACATCCTTCCATCCTCATTTTTCATTATTCCTGAATATTGCTTCCTTCCTCTGCTCATAAATGATGAATCAACGTTGCAACGGCAAATTAACTTCATTATAATTCACTGGCATTTCACATTTTCCAATTTAATAGCATATGAACAATAAATAAACAAATAAATTAAATCGTATAGAAATTATGAAGTTAAGCATGATTTCATCATTTAATTGCTGCTAATTGTGCAGCTGTGAATTTCAAAAATCAGCGTTAATCAGCTATGCAGCCATAGGTTAAAGATTTGTTTTCTTGAAATTTCAGATTGATCCGCTTGTAGAATATAAAGGCATTGTGATGTTATTCAGTCGGGAACTACTTTTAATCCTCTCGTGACAACTACAAATGCAACTCCTTTTCTCATATTTATTGAGCTCAGTCAAGTTAATTTTCACACATTTTTCATTCACTTTTATGCGACACGTACGAATAATTGTGCATAAATATGAGGAACGAGAAAGGCATTATTCGCATGAGAAAAATAAATTTTTATGTGTTTTCATCTTTATGCGGTTTCTGTATGCAACATATTGTTCAACATACACACAAAAAGAGGAATGAGTATATGCATTAATAAAGAAGACAAGAAAGAGGATTTTCCGCTTTTATAGCATGTGAATAAATATGAAAATATTCATGAATAATGTGACAGGTTGAAAAGTCACGAGTATTGTGCCAAGCAAGTGATGCAAAAATGATTGGATTTCTTTCCAAGAAATTGATTATGTTTCCGCGCTTTAGCTGAATTAAGGATTATGTCATTTAAAGACTATTCAGAGCGAGAGTCGGATTCTTTTGGAATGTCCATAAAATAAATTTGAATATCAATTTAAATAGTTTATTTTCATTTAAAACTTCCTGCAACATTTGCTGCATCATCATTTTTTGCTCCCTTCTATTTTAATAAAGATGAGTTTTTTTTCTGGGGGCTTTTCAAAAATGACGTCTCTTTAGAATTGTAGTAAAAGTTTTATGACGAAAGGATCCCGAGGGGCGGGGGGGGGTCTAGTTTCTTTAGTTTTCTTCTGTCTAACCTCTTGTCTCTTCAAAAGTTCAATGGAGATTCAAGAACAGACCATCAAACAAACAAACCCTTGTTGGAGAAGAGGGGGGGGGGGGGGGATATTCATCATAAAGGAACCGAAACCTTCGATTCAGTCCCTAACAACAAAAACTGTCGCTACATCCATTCACAGCGCTCAAAACCCACATGACGTTGAAAAAAAAACTTCATTCAGTAAATGACCTCATTTACAAATCACCCCCATTCCGTTATCCCGAAAAAAAAAACATTTTCATTTCAGCGGTTGAAGCGAGCAGGATGTGAATTGCCATTATAGTATGAAAATTTCATTCAATTTAATAATAAAAAAGTTCATATCAACTGGTGACTCGACTCGACTCGACTCCAATTTATTTCATAGAATTTCATATTCCATTTCATATTATGGAGGTAATATAAATGGAATAAACGATGATGATGGTGATGCGGACGATTGCTGTTATTAACAAAATTGAATGTATTTTGATATCTTGAGAGCATCACAGCAAAGCTTTTTCTACTGCATTAAAGTGGAAGTACTTCTTATTCCTCACAATGACAATAATTTAATATTTAATGAAAGTGTAAAAAGAGATGAGGAAGTGAACAAGACATATATACACACGCACAGTATGAGAGATGAAAGAAGCTTTAGAAATACAATTTACTATACTGAATGGTCACAGCATGAATTGCACAATTACAAGTTGCTTGAAAGGAATTGATATTTATCATAGGAAGCAAAGGTTGAAGTAGAAAGGAGACTGTCAGTAGAAGGTAACACCCAACCAACATTATGTGGATTAATGAACTTTCCATGGACAAGATATCTGATTTAATAGAATATTAAAAATGTAAGCTGAATAACTGAGTTTATTACTTTTTTGTGTCTAGTCATTTTTAAGGGTGACCAAGAGGAACAACTTAGTCATGAGTAGCGACAAAATGTCTTAAAGACTCCTCTAATGACGACAATGTAAATATGTCTGACACAAAAAATAAGACAAGCCACAATGTGCAGCTCGGGATGTTCGATGAAGTCCTTTTCTAGTCTGCAGCAATGGGACAGTAATTTTCTATTAGATGGTGCTTTCCAGTGACTCAAGAAGTTAAGTTGTATTGACTTTTATTTATGAATGAGAGAACAGATGATAGACTTAAAGCATTAAAGTGCTCAAAACTTTAAAGAATCGAAAACTTGAAGAATTTTTAAAAATGACACGTGAATAAAAACCAAAGCTTGAAGTCGACTAAAATTTTGTATGCAACACGCACACAAAATCTGAATCGACTTAAAGTTCGACTCTTGAATTGCTGACATAGCGACTAATTATGTCATTTGAACCATTTCTTATGTTAAAAAGTGAAATTTTTTAAAATTTTATAGTGTTGAAAAGAAAATCTCAAGAAGATATTTGAATCTGGTGACATTTGACACATCCATAATACTTCCTTAAATGTCACCAGTATCAAATATCTTGTATCCAATGAACACACTATAAAAACGCCAGCTACAGTTTCAGTGTTATCAGGACTTACCCAATCAGACATTTCATGTGTATCGGCGTTTCTATGATGGTAATTTAAGATTAAAATTGTTGAGACGACTGACGACGCAACCATGAACATTATGCAATTGAAATATGTACCTATATAACAATAAAATAATTAATTTTTCAATTTCGTTGTTACTTGTGAGGCCCACATTGGGGGCTGGTATAATTTATGTTGTTAATGCTTCTATTTGCACAAAAAAACTTTCATTCGACTACTTGAAATCTTGCATAATAATTTAATTTTGACATATATAGACATGTACAGCTAAGTATTTTATGTAGTTTTTTTTATTTTATTTTAGTTTTTTTGTTAATAAGCATTTTTAAATAGTTTTTTGGAATTTTTTTTTATTTTTGATCGCAATGCGGGACATTGCAGTCAAAAATGATGAGTTTTTGTTTAAGGCTTTTTTTAAGTTTAAATAAATATTTTTTAAAATCCAAGGGGGTAACAACATGATGAGGAAACTTTTTGATGAAATTTTTCTTCAACAATTTCCCGCCAAAATATTGACAATTTTGGCGCGAAACTTTACATCAAACATTTCCCACAAAGTTGGTTCCCCCCTTTAAAAATCATAAAAAATGCATGAAAGTTGAAGGATTTTTTATGGATAGCATGTAATTCTTATTTTTTCTGAAAAGTATAAGTGAGCAGCAGTGAAAATGTTCAGCTATAGTGAATGAGAAAAAGCATGTGAATTATTTATTTATGACCATCGACCCTCAACAAGCTGCTGTTGTTTTTAGAAACAACACATTTTTTATATGTGGGTATTTTTGGGTAAGCATCTCAGTTCCCTATTGTTTCTAGCTCTTTTTTTTTGCTGTTGCTGTTGTGTGTAAATAAATGTGGCTCCCTTCATCAGATTATTTTTAGTATTAATGATCATTCCGGCTTACAGCCTGTGTGTAAATTTTTGTTTTCTTAATTACAAGCCTACCGAGAATTCAGGTGCTGATACTTTCTATGTATATCATGCAATATATTTAGAACCTTTACAAAAAAGATTTATGTAAAGCATTTAAAATCCTTGAAGAATTTTTTTTGTGTTCTTAAAAAGTATGTGTTTTGTGTCTAATGACATAGCTGGCCTGAAAATTTTTCATGGTTTCTTTTTTCTTTGGTTGAATAAATGAAGCATGTGATATTATATTTGTAGAGTTTGAGTGCTGATAAGTTTATATCATGTATTGAAAAAATCGAATTAATTGCAAGACAGGCTGAACATGACTCTCATAGTGACACTTAATTATTTACACTTGATATGATGGAAAGTTAAGGGAAAGTAATTTTTAAGGCAGATCGTTAAATGCTGAAGATTAGCAAGAATCTATTGATAGGCGTGGGTTTGATTCCTTGAAGTAACATATACCAAAAAATTTGCAGGATGCTATAATGTACAGAAAGTATGGATAAAGTATTATATATGTACCTATACAATTCAAAATCCTATGAAATTGACCTTTAATAATTTTTACTGAGCTTCCTTCGCATCTTCCAACCTTTTTACTATTTATTATTGCAATATTCAAGCATTGCACTTTATTCTCAAACATATCATTTTTCGTAACTATAAACTGTAAATTGACACTACAGCCTGATCAAAAGAGCTATCTAATCTCCTTCCAATGTACACAAAAAGTGAGCTGAGTCATGACAGTGATGACAAAATATTTTTTTTTACATAAATTGTTCATGTATTATTTATGATGAGCGAGATAAACATAAAGAAAATTATGACAATGACATGACACATGTTACTGTTGCTTGATCGATGTTATGTCAGATGGTCGTATGGAGTTGTATCTCATTCAATATTAAACACAGTTCTACATAATGTATTGCTCATATAGCTTAACAGCAATAAAAATATGGCAACTAGAAAAAATCCTTCAACTGCATATCTTTTTCATGCTGGAAATAATAAATAAAATAGAATTGCCACAAAATGGAACAACTAATAATAAGTTTCACTAAAACTTCACACAGAACATAAAAAATGCTTTTTTTGATTCCTCTAAAATTCGATTATATATAGATATAGATATTTATAGCAGGCTTGATTCAAACAAATGATGCTGGTGATACGAGCGGTGTGGAAATTTTGATTAATTTTGTTATTTTATTGTCAGAAATGTGAAGCATTTGAAATGTGGATTCATTTCTTTTACGAAGAGATTAATGAGTTTAGGTTGTTCTATGGCTTCATAGTCTCAGTTTTTCATGTTGAAGCAATATTAATGAAAATTATTGAGTTATACAAATGGATTTGAATACTTAATCTGAGCGATTATGAATGGTTGAAGTATCTTTAATCAGCTTTAGTCATTCAAATTGTTTTTGGTGGCTGGAAAATTGGTTATTCATGTCATTTTTAATGTTTAATTAATTCTGAATTTTAATTGCATCTAAAATTAATTCAAACTTTTGATGAAGAGACATTTTGACTCGGCTTTACTAAGTTCAAACTTAGTAGAGCTCGAGGTCGACTTTGCCATTCAAAATCGATGAAAATATCGAATCGACTTCGATTTCTGAAACTTAGTAATGTTCTAGCAACTTTAAGCATGTCTTCAATCTAGTCAGATTGGAATCAGAAGTAGGTTTTGAAATACTGTGCTTGATAATTACCAAATTTAACAGTTTTACTTTCAGAATCTGAAATCATCAGACAGAAGCTTGCGGTTGAGTATTTTAATTAAGTTTGATGTATGTCTTAGCCTGGTTCAACCCAAAAATTATGTTTTGATGAATCTTTAATAATTTAATGACGCATTATTTGCATTTAAAATAAGGTACGAAAGCAGTTAATTAAAGGAAAGACATTTTGATGTCAGTACTAGACTTATACTCATTGGACTCAGGTGAGGATATAATGCACAGATACTGAGGTAGACACAACGTTCATTAATTAATGAATCACATTTCATAACGCCACAAAAATGATACTTTTAATATTTATTAAATTAATTTATATATTTTTTGGTTTATCAGGATGAAAAAAGATTAAAAAAAGAACAAAAACTATATATAGATCATATCCAAAAAACTATTCAACAATTAAAATTAATTATTCATTATTATACAAGAACACATATTCTGCATAATTTTAAATATATTTTTTTATTTTATTTATTGTTAATTGATTTATTTTTTTAATAGCTGAATCCAAATTCCGTGGGAAATGAATATATAAAAATAAATTAAATGAAGCTTTTTGCACTCTATTGCACCTAATGTGCAGCCAATCAAAAATGCAGATTTTTGCTGTCAAATTTGAATTTGTGAATGAATTATCGACTGTCCAATAGTCTTAAATATTCACAAAACTCATTCAGTGAACTCAAATTTTGGCAACAAAAAAAAATTTTGTGTGCGAATAAAACAGCCCCGAGCAGCAATCAAGGCTGTATCCTGTAATGTTGCTCTGGCAATACTAGGTCCTTTGTTGCAACCTTCACTGTCAAGGCTCCTTGACATGTGAATGGTAGCTTTTACACAAATGAGTAATATTGACAGTACAACATATTAACAAGCAGTTCAGACATCATTGCAGCTCGGGAGAAACAGAAACAATTTTTTTCCCAACGGACGATTCACAAAAAATAGCAATTTTTAAAAGAAATTTTTTTATGTGTTTTTTTTACATCGAAAGGCATTGGTTTGACGTCTCGAATGTGAAAATTAAGCATAAAATATTCATCATAGCGATGCTGCTCCATTTTCCATTTGAGACGTGCATTCGCCTCAACAGTTTCGTTTTTATTTTAGTTTTAAGAAAAAAATCTTTAGTATGAGTTTCATTTCCATCTAAATGGTTGCTACATGTGGTCAATAAAACACGTGAAATGGATATATTTGTTGCACTTTAACCATAAAAAGATAAAGTTCTGTTGGAGATCATAATATATTGATAAATATATATTTAGATTTATGATACGAGTGTTTTGCAAATGGGTAGGTTTAAGTGTATGTGTGTGTGGATGTTGTGTATGGGTTACATAAATGCGAGGCAATGTGAGTATCAAAAAATAAGGTCGAGAAGATATATATATATAAAGTATACAGGAGGATTTGATTTTAAATTTAAGGAAATATCATAGTTAAATTGATTGAACTGACATTAATAATTGTAGTAAGATTAGGTTAACTAGCTCACAATAGCTTATTAATGACTATAGATGAAGTTTTGAAAAAAATGACTAGTCCATATTTAATGGTTTCGATTAAAATGTCTTGTGCCATAAGATTTTCGAACAATTAAAATGAGCTCGGTTTGAGAAACGAAAGCATCCTGTATTAATTATGTTTACTAGTCAGGAGCATAGCTTGTATTAACTTTGGATCAGGCGCGTAGCCAGGGGGGATTCGGGGAACAAATCCCCCAACGTAAACAAAAATTTCTTTAATTTGCTAGGGTAAAATCACAAAAATACCCCCCCCCCCCCCTTAAATTTTTCCATACAAAAAATTTTTTGTCCAAATTCCAAGTACGCCCTTGACCAACTAGTTTTAATAGACATAACAATCCATTGAGACATGACTATGATTAAACCGACTCTAACCTACTCAAATTAAATCGACTTAAGGTAACTTGATCGACTTCGTGCTATGGAGATAGGTTTGACCTCCGTGCACCTCTTTTTGTACTCTCCTGCACTAAGTTATTTCACTAGTGTTCAATCTGAATGTTATGTAAATTTTAGTAACAATAAAAAAAGGATGTTTCAAGGCACGCACTGCACATACACACACAGATATAAAAAAAAATAAAAAAGCACTTGGAAGCATTCGCACCTATAATGATTATAATTGTGTATTAAAAATTTGGTTAGGTTAATTTAATATTATATTATATACAAAATAGGCTATTCTGATTATCAATAGCAAAAATATGTTCAGCATCAGCAGCATTATCTCTATAATTTTTTGAGGTTATAAATATATGAACAATCGCTAACACACACAAAAACAAACAAATTAAAAAGTAACGACACAAAACTAAATGTTTTTTGTGGCTCACACATACACACACATTATTTGGCTTGCTGGCTTGTCTTTTTGTTTGAAATTTAAAAATGTTACCTAATAATGGAACGGCATCTGATGTTGCCGGCATTGTCTCAGCGACCATATTTAAAAATACAGTTAATGATAATAAAATTGTTACGCCTAAATTGTGAAAATAATCAAAATTCAATTAAATTAAATTTTCAATTGTGTTGCAAAATTGGCACTGGACATTGAGGTTACCTAATGATAGTTTTTCACCCGAATCAGGTGGTAATGTGAATCCTAATAATGCCATCGATGCAATCAATACACATGGGACGATTAAATTAAAAAAATAATACAACGTTCGTCGTCTTATGATTATCGCAAATGTTACGTCCTGGAATGGAATTTGGTAAGGAGAGTAAGTTATGATTCTTGGTAGGCTAGGTTGGTTTCTTGGATATCCTATAGCTAAACTAGATACCAGCTTCTGCTAAAATGTTTCACTAAACGACACCCAAGTGAATACTAGCTTGCAGCTATCATAAATTAATTCAATAATTAATACACTTACCACGTACGGCTCTGTAGATACCCGCGTAAAAATGTCATATTCACAGTTCAGTTAGAAAAGTAAGAAGGAAGAGAAGAAAGAAGACAATATCATTATTAATTTGTGGAAAACGAGTGTATTACATAATAAGTGGAACCAAAAAAATAAGACAATTATGGAGGAAAATATAGCGAGATATTTAATTAAGTAAGAAGAAAATTTATGATAATTACCTGGACAACAATTGTAATAGATCTCGTTTCTTTTGCCCGGGACACCTACAATATAGAAAGTAATTTTTTTGTATTAATAAAACAGACCGTTATAATGAGAATAAGAAGCGTATGAACCCGGTCAAAAATGATTTATTCGAAGCTAGCCGTTCATACATGAATTTTAATATTGTCTCGTCTAGGCTTTTCTGATACCCTTGTCTCGTGTGATTTTGGTGAAATTGGATAACTCGGAGCAGTTCTGGTACCGAAAAAGCTTAATGTCTTCTAAAATTTGCATTCTGGTTGTTTTAAGTTGACTATCGACTTTAAATAACTGTAACTTAACCAGTCTTTCGGGTATACCCTAGAAATTATGTTATACTTTAGAGACCAGACCATGCTGATCACTTGCAGGCTTCATTCATTTATAGCTCCACAAAATTAGACCCCACAACTCATTGTACCCCAACAAAAAAAAAATTCGCAAACTTGTTTATCGTTCGGGAAATGAGATAAAATAGACACAATGTCGGATTATAAAAAAAGACCAGCATCAGCAGTAGAATAGTAAACCAAAGCATTTTACGGAAAAATATTTTTAAAAGCGAAATGAGAAAAAAAGAAAGAAAAATGTTTTTTGTAACAAATATGAAGCAATAAATCATCATTAAAGGGATATAAATATGACCTATCAGCTTTAGAGAATTGTGAGGGTAGGAACATTGAATACACAGAAGAAGCAAATGAGGCCATAAGAAATTCTTGTGAGGTTAATAGTTTGTGGTAATTAAATGAAAGATATTGTGCTCATTACTTGGGAATAGTTGACTCCAGTGACACAGTCAGGATCCCACAAGTGGCTTTTACTAAGGAATAATCGCTGTTGTCATCTGGGGCCTACTTTTTAGGATCCTCTAGAAACTTATTTTATCAAATATTATTCCCAATCATGTTGTTATCCCCTTAGCTCGATGGAGCTACATAACCATAAACCTGAAATATCCCTAGATGAGATAATAGAAAAATCAAGATTATCTCGTTATGGCGCATGTAGATTGCCACCCTACGCATAAGTAAGGCACTTATGAAATTTACAAAGGATGAATATATTAATAATATTTCATACAAGACGAATCACAGAGGCACAAGCGTTATAATGCTCTTTTGTGTAATATTAAAACATAATCGCGACTATAAATTTTATGACGCAATAGGATGAAATTGTTAAAGATTATGAGAGCTATTTTTGTAGCTTCCTACCGAGAATTATATAAATTCTTCGAATAATTTCTTTCATTTGTAAAGCACAGTCAATGAATTTTCAAAATTGGATCTAGGCGACAAAAGGAAAAGCAAGTCATAATCCGGAAAAACTCTTAATAACTTCTTTATTCTTTAATTTTTGTTTCTTTTATCTCAGCGTAAGTAATACCCCAAAAAGGTATAACCTACCGGATATCAGCATTTATCCACAAAGAAAAAAAGTGAAAACGGTCATATACACAACAAGAGAGGATTAACGAATCTACCCGGTCGGTGCTGTTTGTTGCCAACCAATGACCCAAATAATTCCAACATAGAAAGCACTGCTATCTCATCATAATCATCATCATCGCATATAAACAATATTTTTACTTCTTTCTTCTGTGCTTTTGCCCACCCGCGAGGCATATGAAAATTGCGGAAGTAAAGAAAGCCATTGGAATAAACAAGCAAATGCCGCTGTTTTGTGGCGAAAGGAAAATTCCTCATTTCTCATTGCTTTTCAGCAGCAACAATGGACTATAAGCATAATAATATAAATCTTTTTTTTTTTTTGTTGGAAAACATTCATGCCCTGTGGACATTTTTTTCTGCTGTAAACGCCACTGCACATTGGATTTCAAAATTTTTTTTAAAAGGGACATGAAAAATGTTAAAGAATACGAAGAAAAGGTAAAAATGCTTTGAATAACTCATTGCCTTTCCATTGTGATTCATTGAATTTTTTTTACTGACCATTGAAGCAATGCTAACATCCTGCAAATATTAAAAAGTTTCATTCTACCTTCCATTTTAATTTTTAAATAGTTATTTAATCGCATATAAATTATGATGATGAATGGGTTCAACTTTTGAGGTTGAAATGTGAATTTTTAAAGCAGTTGAAAGTTGTTCTGGGATAAAGGAGATGCTGTAAATTATAAAATTTAAATGTGTCTGAAGAGAAAAAGCTTAATGAGTTAATGGTAACCTGGAAAGCTTAATATGATGATACACATGCTTTAATTTCTGATGTTTTTTGTGTAGGCTGTTTACAAATCCAGCCTACATAAAAAAATATCAGATTTCTAATTAACATGATTAAATGTCAATATTCACAGAAATTAATTGTTGCCTAAACAAGCAAAAAATTTGTTTCCACATAATTAGTGATTCATAGCATGATTTTGTATTTAAAAAAAATATTTATTTTATGTACATATAAAGACAGGGGTATGGGGTAAAATGAGATGTTGAAACCTATCGACACCTACCAGACGCGTAGCCAGGGGTTGGATTTGGGGGACAAATCCCCCTTTGTCTTGAGAAATTTCTTCATTTTTCTAGAGTTTTTATGAAGAACTCGAAACCCCCCCCCCCTTCATAAGTTTTCCATAAAAAAATTTTTTTGTCCCCCTCTTCAAATTCCTGGCTACGCTTCTGATACCTACCCATACCCCCATCCTTTCTATTAATAGTCTTTATCTATTATTTGACTCACAACACTTCACACATTTCAAACCTCCCTTTCTACACCCCTGCATCTATTAATTCAAATCTTCTTGCCGCTAAAATCAGCATGAATTTTATGCAAAAAAAATGATTCCATATTCAATTCACAGCATCAACCAAGCATAAAATTTAAAAAAAATCCATTAAATTATTTTCCCCACAAATTTAAATTTTAAATCATTATTAAATTTCATAACGTTAAGCACACTTCCCAGTGAGTCATAAAAGAGAGAGGAAAAAAGAAATTCATGACAATTCGCATATTTTACAAATTTCCACTTCAATAATTTTGCACAAAATGTGTTGCCAAGCAATTTGGAATTAATGTACAAACATGGAACAAAAGGAGAAAAATTGCCAACCGCACTCACACACACACATAACAATAATAAATAGCTAGCAATAAAAATAATAATAATAATCATATACGAAAATGATGACATTATACAGCCATACAATAATAGAGAAGAGGAAGAATATTGAAAAATTAAATGGAAATGATAAATTTTAATTTGCTAGACGGAGCAAATGCTTTAAAACCCGAAATTCTCAGGATTGTAGAATCGTTTATAAAAATTGAAATCCTCAAAACTGTTAAAATGATTTAAAGACAATCCTCTAACATTATGCTTCTAGCTCATTACTTCTTTTAAACTTTCCGTCTACAATTGATGAGAACTAAATCTGAACGCAAATCGAAATCTTAAAGACGTCTGGCTGCTAGGTTACAAAAACCTTTAGATTCCTAAAGAATCGCCTACATATTATGTCTCGACTCTTACATCCCACTTTGTTATGACATCGCATTTACCAACAATTATCACCAAAGTTATTTCAAGCATTTAGTAGTTCAGTTTAAAGCCCATATTGTCACTGAGATCGACTGAATACTTAATGAATTGAATGAGCAGTGAAAGACGCTGGTAGCGCTAATTTAAAGAATTGACAGAAGGTTTCGAAGGAAAGAGCTGACGTCATACAATCCCAATGCGAGTTTATGGACACACTTGCGTCACAGTCAAAGAAGTAACGAGTCAACAAATAAATCAAAGCCTAAATTCACAAAATATCATTTTATGACTTTATTAAAATTCCTGACACATCAGTCATCCACACGTGTGCCCAATAAACAGTCACACACATACAAAAAAGGATTCTTTAAGGCTGAATTTTCCTTCCTCAGAAAAAGCTCAACAACCAAAAATTTTCTTTCCTAATCAAAAAAGTTTTCCCAACAAACAATTTCTCGTTTTTTTTGTTCATTCTTTACATGTCCTTTTTTTGGTTCTATATCATGCCGCCCACATCCAACGAGGGGAAAAAAATACATATTGACATAATGATTATTTTCGTTTTTCTATTGAAATTCGCATGTGAACAGCAGCAACAGCAATTTTTAGCCTCAAGCAAATTTTCTTTTCTTCAATTAAAATTGGTAATAAAGTCACTTCTATTCTTATGAGACTGAATATGAAGAAAATGAAATGAGTTTTCAATTTCATATAATTTTTTCATGCTCTAGTTCCCAAGACTATTAAAGGCAATTGTTGATGGAAGAGAATGAACTTTTTATTTTGTTCGATGCCTTCTTTTCAATTTAGCTTCGTTTTTTATTATAAATTCATTGTGAGTGACTGAAAGGATGTAAAAATAAGTCAAGCAATATTTTTTTTGCAGTCACTGGGTTGAGAAAATTAAGAACTTTTGTTTAAGCTATTAAAATTATGAATGAATTCAGGATGAAGGCTGTTGTCATTATGATGATTCATTTTTAATGGAACTGCTGGTAAAGATTTACTTTTGTGATTGCAGTCTTTGAGTTATTGCGAGTATTGAAATCAAAGGTAAGTTTAGTTCAGTAATAGATCAAAGAGAGATTTATCTCGAAAAATTGCATTAAGCTCTTTTCCAAGTTGGTCGTCCAACTTGGTAGTTTAAAATAGCTTTAAGTAAGCAATCCGCTTGAACATCATTTCAACATACGCAGGTTGTCAGGTGATTTTAAGACTCGAACCAACAAATCTAAAAGAACTTAAGCTCAAATTCAAGCCTGATACCAGAACTAATCGATCTCCAGACTCATTAAGTGACTTTGAATAGTGCCAATACTTAGATATGTAAATTCTCGTGTGGATTCAACTTTGACTGGTTTGTAATTGAAAGAGCTAGAAACAATTGACAGAACTTCATTCTTTTAAAACAGTAAATATTTGCCTTAAATTTTCAAATAAAATATAGAATTAAATAATAAGAATTGTCATTATTGTTATTTATGTTATTCGGCTACGCACTGTTGAGATCACGATTTTATTTTTCAGTTTCTTATGAATCGCTTCAGTAGATTTTGAGAGAAGATATTTGGAAGAAATTCTATTTCGTTCGTTAAATATTGGGAATTTCTCTGCTGAATAAGTTTAATTTATTGCAATTTATGGAACATTTATCATACTTTTATTGGATTTAAAGGAACTTATTGAGAATATTTATGAGCTTATTAGTGTTTATATATTTAATGCTTTAATTAATCTCAGGAAATGAATTTTAGATTAGCTTGTCAATTAATTGATGACATTTAAAGCACAATCCATGATATATTTCATAAAATTCAAACAAAAGTTTCACAAATTTATGAAACAGATTTACTTGTGCATGCATAATAAAAAGCAATTTCTGTCGTTGAAAAGGTTAATGTACCATATTGCAGGTAAGTTCATTGAACGTATTTTATCGTAAAATGTTCATATTCAATGGATATAACGAAATTTTATGCACATCATATGACATCACATTTCGTCCTAAAATAGAACAATGCAAAAATGGCATGAATAGCCTCATTTAATAGTGGTAGAAGTTGTAGATTATTTTTAAAACGGATTTTACGAAATTTATCATGAAAGCTTTAATTTAAAGGGAATTGGTTGAGTTATTTTGAATGAGATTTATTCAGTCATGGACTAGCTTGAAAATTGAATTATAATTGGCAATGCTCAGATTTCAACTAGAATTCAAATACAGGTAATTGCAATATATGAAGGACAGAAGCTATCTTCTTCAAATTAGTTCCCGAAATCTACAAAACCAAAATTTTGCTATCTATTGTCTTAACGCTAGTTTGGTTCCTAATCATTCCTATAGAATGTCTTAAAAATACCCTTAACCATCAAGACCCTCTAAAATGTGAGCCAAAAAATATTAAAATTTCATTACTTTAACAATTTTTCATCTCAATATATCATAAACAGCACAGAAACATTACCAACATTAATATTATAAAAAGAGAAGAATAACTGACATTCATTTACAATGAAAGATGAAATGTCATCTTTACAAGAGAGAAGAATAAAAGAATATCTACACACCATCACCGTAATATTTTTCTTTCAATTCTCGCTTCCACCATCTTCATCATTTTCCCATTCCATTTCATATCCGACAATTCGTGAACATTATTAAGGGAAGTGAATACACACAAAAAATGAGGAGGCACAAAAATGTATGAGATGGAAAAAAAAAAGATACCCAAATGTGCCTAAAATGTCCTCATAGCAATTTCCCATTCCCATCAGCTACACAAAAATTTTACCATTAGGTGCGTTTGTATTGTTGTTGTAGCAAGAGCCAGGGAGAAATTTTTTTTGTGATGTCACATTGTACGTGCTTCGTACCTTTTGCTTCGTGCGTACTGTATTTATTCAAATGTATGCAAAACGTATACACAGGCGAAAAAGGCTCAGTTAAAAAATGAATGTTTAGCGTTTTTTTTATCATATGAAAATGTCATAACAACTTTATGATGTTTAATGCTCTAACCGACACAATAATAATGACTTTTTTTTTTGGTTTTTATCTGTTCTTGACATTAGCTTACGTGCTGGTCTTAAGATAGGGTTAGGAAAGGAGAAATACGCTGAGAAATCGAGATCTAAGTTCCCGTAATTTCATAAGAATTGTGCAATTAAGAGATCAGACTCTATTAGGAAATAAACCACCTGACTATAGTTGCCTGACACTTGTCCATGCAGATTCACATCAACACCATCAAAACTTCCAATTATGCTTAACATCCACACAACACCTCTTGATTGCAATGGTCTATTGTTTATGAAAAGTTGTCAACAATTTGTTCTCAAAAACTCACTTGTACTCAATAATCATCTTCCGTAGAATAACAGCACTTCCGTTGAATATAAAAACTCAAAAGTTCTTCAATTGTTACTAAAATTGTTTTACTTTTCAAAAATCTCTCAAATTCTTAGGTAAGGCTGCTTTGTGCCACAGAAATTAGCACAAAAGAATCTTCAACAACAAAACTAAAGCCATAGCTGAGTGAAATATTCAGAGCATCAAAGCGAAAAATTCCCACGTGAATTGTTTTCTAGTAAAGAGTACAAGACGAGAAAGAAGCAGATTGGGATGGCAATGAAATACTTTCAACCGTAAATTATCCAGTTCCATATACATACACACACAATATTATGTATAAAGCATCACAAAAAGAAAGGAATGATGTGGAGGAGTTGATACATACATAAAGCTTTACAAAAGAACAATTCATTATATTTATGTACAGCAGTAGCTCAAAATGCTATATAACGTGTATAATCCGCTTGAGTACCAATCCCGGCAAAAGCTCTACGTTAATGTACGTGAAAGTGAATGAGCGGATAAAAATGAGTTGAATTGAATAACTTTTTTTTTGCATGCTCGGCATGGAAACTCGCAAAAATAAGGCAAAAAGGAATTGAGTCACATGAACTGAGATATATCTACCGTATGAATATGTAATTAATACAACGACCCCAAATCAGCTACACAGTCTCTCTCAATTTGTACAGTTTCAGTGAACTGTTATCGGACAGTTCGCAAAAGAACATAAATATCAGAAATACTCAGGGAGACAACAACTTGTTGGGAAAATTTTTACTACTTTAACTTTTGGATTATTCCCCACCAAGTTGCTTACTCTTGAGCTGAAGTGGCTCGGTGGCGGAATGGTTTAGTACTTCGGTACCTAATTATTGCAATACCGACACAGCGATCATGGGTTCGAGACTGGGTATGGGAAATTTTTCACTTGTCCTTTTTCGAATCATATGTACTGGAAATTAGGCTCACAGCCTTCCTTTGTAGGCTACAGACAGAAATGTCATCAAAGGAGTGGTTCGGATCCCACTATAAATTGTAGGTCTAGGTTTGAATGCAGTGGTTTGGCGCATCCTCACTCGTTAAACTCTCATTAGCTGCGAATCGCCCTAGCGCACCTCTGGATCACAATTGATCTGAATAGGTAAAGGTTTTTTTTTTTTTTTTTTAAGTTGCTTACTCCTCAACAATTTTCAGTTACTCATTGCTGTTTTCAACAGTTTTATGGATTCATATGCGTAGAACAGAATGTTAAAACTCTACATACCTAACAAATCCCATTCACCGTTCGTAACAAAGCTACTTATATCACCACCTTGTTCATCTTGCAGCTGGAGATCAAGCTATAAAAATGAATAAATTTAAATCAATTTTTGATTATGATAAAATGAAATTATTGTTCAATTTTACCTGAAATCCATCGTACGTCCAACTTCCAAATTTCATTTCACATCGTTGGCTATAGAATAAGAAGGAAAGATTGATAAATTATCGATTCATGTCATCATTATTAGTTCCATAATTTTATCATCATCTTACTCATCGAATGGAAACCACGTAATATCGATTTTACATGTTGACTTAAAGATACCGGGTGGTACGTATAGGCATGAACCATTACTTCTTACAACAACATTTGTTGGATATGTGCCATCAAATCCCTCATCAGCACTGTTATAGGAATTGATAGTTTCATGTTGAATGATTTTACAGATGTTTCGAGGTTGGTTTTTTTGGTGGATGTTGATGGAATTAAAGGAAGTAGAAGAAATAAATTGATTTTTCGTTAATATATCTTGTAAAAAAAATTATGGCAAGAATGAAGGAGAAATAACTTTTGGATGTGAATTTAGGGGTCATTCCTAAATGATGTCCACTTTAAGGGCGAAGATGTGAGAGGAGTCTGAAACTTGCCTAGAGTGTAGCAATGTTGTTTGAAAAAAAAAATCTTAATCTCTTTGGAACTAGATCTTTGTGATACCAAACAAGTTAAGAATTTATGGCGGGGTTGGTGGAAGAAGGAGGGTCGGTTCCAAAAATTTTGATTCCTAATTGAAGTCATTGATTAAAAACCCTAAAAGTCAAGGACAAGATTAAAAAAAAGGATTAAAAAAAGGCATAGCATTACTCTCCCACAAACGTTTGACTTTCAATAGGATTCGAACCTTGCAATATTCAGCAAATATTGATAAATCTCATATAAATCTCTGACACACTTTAGCTAATTTGTGTACAAATTGAAAATATCTAAATCAATATCAATATCAAAGTCAATCAAAGACAACCATAATGACAACTTCCTCAGACATATTTCACATTCCAAAACTTAATTTGCCCACAAAACCGAAATTCATACCTATTATACATCAGCACATCAGGCTTCCATATTCGATGTGGCGGAATGCGAAGATCCTTTACTCCACCGTACTCGGTTGCATTCCATCTCAAATTCATGTCATTCCATTCCTAATAAAATAGTTTTACATTTATGATATGATAATAAATTAGTAAAGTACATAACAATGAATGTATGCTGTATAGAATGGGAAAATGCTCATGCTAATGACTTTTATTGTGAAAATGTAGGATTTATGTCTAATTGGGAATTATGTTAACTATTTTATGGATGAGGCAGGCTGTATGGAATGAGAAAAATATTTAAGCAGTAACGAGAGTCGAGAAATGACAAGCATTTAAAATATTTTCCTGATTAATATCAAGAATAAGCAAAAGTTATCCCTTCCATTCTCTAATTAAGCAGCCAGCAGAATAAAAATTAATTAAAAATTGTTTTCAATTAAAAGAACTTAAACTTTGCCCTGACATGCTAGTTCCCCATCTATTCTCTGGTTTTTTGGAGTAAGTTTGTCATTGCTTTAGTTTCATGCGAAGAAGCAGATGTAAAGAATTTATGAAGCAATTCTTGAAATAAATTTTCTTCTATCTTATTGTATCCCGACTAGCTAATGAGTTCCAAGGGTTCAAAATGGCAGCTTTGGTCAGAATATAGGGCAACTTTAAGCTTCCTTTTCTGACTTGGGCTGTTCAACCTGATAGCTCTTGAAACCAGCCCTTGTTGAGGATTCCTAGAAGATTAAGTGACATGTGCTACTCGGGCTTAGTACTATTCCGTTTAATTATAACTCAAGACAAAAAACTCTGAATTCGATGGCAATGGCAAAAAGTTTTTTTTTTAAAGAATTCAAACAAGACACAAAAAAAATTGTCTTTCCATCAAATCTAAGATAAATCAGCATGAAATTGAGAGCGACTTTTCAAGCTCATTTAAATAAAATTCTTGTTTATATTTCGTCTCTTTGTTGTATTATAATCATCAGAAAATTTCCATATTAAGGACGATGCGATGCAATTTTAAAAATTTTCCCATAAATTACAGCACTCAACCATTGAGAATAAAATGAAACTTAGTGATGTAATGGGAACAATGTAATAGAGTCATGGATAAAAATTGATATAAATTCAAGGATCAAGATTAAAAAGTTTTTGCTCTTGTCAGCATAAGAGTTGCATGAGCATTCATAAGAAGACAAGTTTTAAGGCATCTTCTACTTACCAACTTTAACCAAATATTTGTTACTAGCAACTGATTTTTCTCATCCTGAAAGTAAAATAAAAATGAATTAGTAATGCTTTATAGTATATTGTTAGAAGGAAGACCCTGAAAGAGGGTGTTGGATGTCAATAAGATGTAAAAAGATGTGGGTAGATAGCATCTTGTAAGAAGAATTCGATCTAATTGACAAAGGCTTTCTCTTTTTGATCTGGAATTTAATTCTGACTGATTTCGAGTTGGCAAAGATGGAGGCTAGCTGGACTATTAACAATAGCTGAGTTTGGTATGGCAAGACAAAGCTGGTTGCTTTACCTAGCCAGTTACACAATGATGATAACGCTTATTCGTACCTGGTTATAAAAGCTAGTCGAGTCAGCAGATTAATTTACATTTCATTCAATTGTCAATTGAATTAATTCCTCTGGAACAGATAGTTGCGTTGCCAAAGGAACAAGCATTTAATCTGTAGTCATACCATTGTCGAAGCTGAGCCGAGAATTTTAATTTAAGCTTTAAGTAGCTCTTAAAACGCTATTTTACTTTGTGAAAATTTATTTCATAATTGAATTTTTCATAAATTTTAACTCGAGCGCAAAGAGCTTTAAGAAAACTTATTTTATTGAAAATTCAGCACAAAAGGGAAGAAACTTTTCATTCCCTTATTTCTAATTCACAAAGTTTAACCTACACATTAAAAAAGAGAATGTTCAATGTTCCGAGAAATCTTTAAAATTAGGTTTTACGATTATACAAAAGTTAGACATAAGAAGCCCAACAAATAACTACACAAAAAAGCCTCAGTCTCTTAAAAATTCAAATCATGTAATTTCACAATTTTAAGGGCCAAAAAAAGAGAAAAGTTTTAGATGTTGATGAAAATTTTTCATTTTCATGAAAAATCGAGGAATAAGAAAATTTCTCAATCAAATCAGATTTGTGCTTAAAAGTTTCTTTACTTTTCTTATTTTATAAATAACTTTTTTTTTCTCATATTTATTCAAACTTTGTCTTGAAATCTCCATGGATATTGGAAGGAAAAATTTTGTTCCTTAAAAAGTTTTTCGTGATGAATTTTCATTCTTCATTGAAGCTGGAAGTTTATCATTAATTAAATGCTAGTCGAGGAAATCATAGAAGAAAATAAAATTTTAAGTCTCGAAAGTTTTGTATTGAAATCTGTGCCAGAGATGCTCATTAAAAGCTTAAAGAGTTAATTAAAGTTGCATTAGAAACGGGGGAATTTACAGGAATTGCGAAGGATGAAGTTCTGGAAAACTTTAATGAGTTCTTTCCGGGTTTTTATATGACTTATTTCGCTATTGATTGAACTTTGGATGAATTTTAAACTTTTTAAACACCTTTTAATTAAAATTCTTTAAGTTCAGCTTTAGTTATTGCTGTTGAATGTACAAGATGCTTTGCTGTAGATTTATAATCTGTCTTCAATAGAAAAAAAAGATTATTTTGCACAACAGTTGAAAAATGAAATTCAATTAGGGGACGTTCACTTATGAAGTCCGAGGGGGGGAGGGGTCAGCAAGAAAAGAACAATAGAAATTCCTGGAAATCCATTGTTCTTTTTGAAAAATGACCGTTAATTTCGGACGTCATAAGTGAACGACCCCTTAGCATTCGAACTCATATCCTTACAAGTCTAACCTGTTGTGAAACCATTCAGTCAATGAGCCTTAAATCTTGCATTGGCAGATTCTACTAAACATGACTCAATTTCCCACAAAAAAATCATTTCATCCATAAAGCAGCAATAGCTTATTTTGTACTTAAAAAGTTTAAAACCTACTTATTCCAGAAAATGATATTCACCCCTCAATTTTCCAATGCATTAACTATTCAAATGCCATTCTTCTAAATCAGCAATTTCATTTCCATTTTTAAGCTCAATTAACAGCCATTAAAGTAAATCGCGTAGACTCAATTCCTATAAAAATGAAGTAAAACAATACTCACCACATCGATAATTTGCATTAATGTTAAACCAAAACTAATTTGAAGTGGATCGGATTCATTCACTACTGGTCGTTCGAGTGTATTATATGGGTCTAAAAGATCATGTAGTAATCGCTTTTCATTATATCCCGCTGAACATACTGTAAGGATGATAAAAAGAAGAAGAAATATTTTAATGATATTGCCAAACATTATACATTCCATGCCCTACATCGAACGAGGGCAATTAAATCAACAGTTGTGAAAATCCCTCCAAAGATATGCCAAGGCTTCGTATTTTAGGAATGAAGCAGAATAAATATATACACATTTATCTGCCTTCTCCTTTGCTCTGCGTACACATAATAATAATAATAATAGATGTACGCAGGATAGAGTCGAGAGAAATGAAAATTGTAAACGTGCGAGGGTGTGGGGATGTGAGATGGAAGAGAAATGAAAAGGCATAGTAGCTGAAAATGAATGTAAAGATGTGAAAACGAAGATTAAGGAATGTCGCAAAGAATGTATGTGACGCGTATAGCTTATTTTCCATTTTCTTCATCTATTGCTATAAAAAAGGAAATTTTCAAGAAAACGGTTCATCAATATACATCGTATCGAATAATAAATACGCATCTGTTGCTGCTTTTCAAGTGCTACAAGCACACCAGTAACAGAAAATTGGTAAACAACACTTTTTTTATATAGAACATCATGAAATGAAAATAACGGAAATAAAGAAAGAAATTTTCATTTTTATGAGGCACTTCTGTTTCAAACTCAATTCTTCTTGTTCGTTGTAAATTGTGCTTATGACTTCAGTTTGAAAGTTTTCAATTACGTAGAAATGTGAGTCTATTTATTCTCAATGGACTAGGGTGGCAGCAATGTCTTCATGTTGAACTTTTGTGGAGCTTATCGGCGTCACATAATTGCTTTATATTTAGTGGTGAACTATGTATGAGGCTTGGAGTTTCATGAACTAGTGGGCAGTGGTTTGATTCTTTGGTCCTTAATCAAGTCTAGGTTTTAGTACTCTAGAACAGAGCTAGTTAAACTATGTTCTGTGACACGCTAGGAAGTTGACACTCAAATATAAATTAGACAAAGGGTTTACTGCATGCTGTATTGTGAAAAGTCTACTGATTGGTCAAGTCCTTTGTTGTGTGTTCAATTCTCAAACTAATGGAACCTAGTGTCATATTACCGCATATACCTGGTGCATTAAAATTATGTACACCAATCCCTGCTCCCCATACAACAATTTACACCCAGTTTTCCAGTTCCACAATCAATTTGTAATAAAGGCATTCAGTCTTCATCTCATTTGGTGTTTTTGATGCTTCAGCAACAATGATAGCCAAATAGATATTTTTCCATGCAATAACAAAAAATTGGATGTTCTACAACTAAAAATAGAATTCATATTCTCATCATTTTCTATTATTATTTCCCATTGTTGATGCTGTTTTATTGATATTGAATTGAAGATGGAGAAGAAAATAAGAATTGAAAGGAAGAAGAGCGAAAGAAATTGAAGCTTTTAGTATAGTAATGAGGGTGTTCTATATACATTTGCTCTTGTTGGGAATATAATAATGGTTATGGTTCTTGGTGAATGTAAATCGATTCTGAATACGTATTATAGTTTGACGTGAAGGTTGTTCTGTCAATGTCCTTGAATGACATATTTAATGTGTCTTATCGTTAGAAATTAATCGAATATGAATTTATATCCATTTATTGATTTTTGTGGAACTAAAAGGAGTCTATAAGGTTACATCATATCTGAACTAACCCTTAATGAAAAGTAAAAAGTAGAATCGATAGAAAAATTAAATTTCCTTAATATTTTTAAATCGTCCAACATTATTCAAAATAAGAAAATTTCTGTATCTAATGCTGTGGATTGTCTCGAAAATGGAGAAAAATATTAAATGGAATCAAGAGAATCAATTCTCATTAAAATTAAGACGTTTTTCTGCCAGCATTTTATGTAGATTGTCAAATTCTATCTTCTTTTATTTACTTTTTGAAGGCTTTGTTCAAATATTTATTTAATAAGCTTTGATTTCGCTTCTGTTGCTGTTTATTTTTGGGAATTATTCATAAATGACGTATTTTTTTTGATGGAATTCGAAACTAATGTTTCTTGGGATCTTGTCTAAGGTTTTTGATGGTTCTGGGAAGAAACCTAGATCATAAAGATTTCAGACCTAGGCGAGAACAAATTCAGAGCATAGCTCGAAGTCGATAGGGTTCGAGTCGACTCGACTTGAGTCAACTGTATGAAAAAGTCGACTTCGAGCTCTGATCCAGACTAAGACGAGAACAAGAGTTCCTAAGAAATATCCAGGGGCTGTGTGACACTCCGAAACATTACTTTTATATGACAATTTTTTGATTGCTGTAAGAAGGGCTCTAATAGTCTCATGTCATATAATCATCATTTATCTATGATGGGGGGTCTAAGAAGTCATTTTTTCGCGTTACGTAATAAGTGAACAGTCCCTTAGCTTCACGTGGAAGTGATTTGTTCTAGTTTCTATCATTAAAACTTAATTCACATTTTCTCATAAAATTAAAAATTGATTCTTTACAAGTTTTACTTTTAAATTCTTGCTCAACAGCAATAAAAATCGCAAAGTGTCATAAATTCCATAAAAAAAAGTTTTTCATTTCCCCCGTTCTTGTAAACAATTTCATCCTAGGTATTTTTCTTAATTTTCTTCATTTTCCTTTACTCAAAGTTTTCTATTAAAAAATAAACCGCTTTTAGCGAGCATATAATACCTTTACAAAGGTTTTATTATTCAAAGTGAGAAATAAAAGAAATGTTTTTTTATTTCATTTCAGGATAAGCGTGCGAAGAGCTTTCGAAATAAATGCAATAAAAATTTTGTGGAGCAATTTTATGTCTTGAGTAAGTTTTTCTTTAAGCTGATGTTTCTTTAATTTATAGTTGTGAATTGATAAGTTGCAAATAAAGCTTGGTTGTAAATTAAATTGCAAAAAGTATGCAAGTGGTGATCAATCTGTGTGCTACGGCAGGACTAGAATCAACTCATCATGAACGATTCTTCCAAAAGTGGTCATCAATCAATGTTTAATCTTTTTCTGATTCACAAAGTTAAAAATTATTTCAAAATTCATATTTACTTGTCCCGATTAAGGCATTCAAAGAACAATGACATTTCAACGAGATTTCCACAAAAAAGTATATAAAAAGAAAATTCTTTGTGAATGTCAACAAAAGAATGAAAAACAACATAAAAGAAAGCAAGAAGAACATGAAATATTCATGAAAAAGGAAAGAATTGAAGAAAAGCAACAAGAAATGAGATAAAGGTTGGCACGGTAGGCAGGTAAGGAGGCTTTTTTATGAAGATTTTCCTTTGCTTCACTTAAAGTTACTCAAAGATTACATTATCTCAATGATACTTAATGCTCAAGTGCTATGCTTCTTCAAATGGAAAAAGAAATAAACAAATAGAAGGGAAATTGAATGCACAACAAATGGAAAAAATGAAGAGGACAAAAAGATGTGAGGAACACAAATTTGATTCTAATAAAATTCCTTTATTGTTTTTCTTATTTTATTGATTTTGTTGCTTTTTTCTTCGTGACTTTCCACTTGAGCATATTGTGGGTGGATACAAAATGGGTTTTATTGACAAAGTATGAAGATGATAATTAAAGGTGACGATGATGATGACAGATTATAATTATTGGCAGGGTGTGATAATTGTTTTAGTGAAGTATTGAAGCTTGTTAAGAGAACTGGCTGGCATGCTTCTTTAGAGTCGTTCAAAAAATCACAATTCTTAAAATCTAACCTCAACATTAGTTCGAAAATTAGCCCAAGTGTGTTTGAAGATCTTAAGAACGGAAGACATAAATGCTCTAAGACCAGAACATTCTCGAATAATTCAGTGTATTATTAACTGAAAAGTTTGAGAACCACTGTTTCAACCACACCTGCTCTATGTCACATTGTTATATCCACAAAATAAAATTTTGTACAATTTTTTGAATTAATGCATTGAAAAATAAAATAAAAGTCTTTTATGATAAATTTAACTAAAATCATACAGAGAATTCACTTGCAAACTCTCTTCTACTTATTCTCTTTCCTCATTTTTTCAATCTAGAAGATGAATGTTAAGTTTGTGCATTCATTTTAATATTAAAATTTTTATTTTCTTTCGTTTGAAATGCAAAGTTTTTTTTTTGTCTTACTCGAGCTAAATTGTAGAAAAAAAGAAATGTTTCAAATGTTGTATTTTGCATTTTAAAATGCTGTTCTTTGTCTGTTCGAAGTAATTTATTTGCACAGCACATAAATGCTTTTAAAAAACACAATTCGTTTAGTGAAAATAAAATTCTGAGACACAATAAAACATTAAACATTCAAATTACCTTAAATCGAATCAGAAATAAATCAGATTTTCGTGATTTATTCAAGTCAGTGTTGCCCTTTAAGCTTTCATGGAAGTCAGACAAAAATAAGTTTTGATTGGTTTTAAGGAATAATGCGATTGTAACACGATGTTGAGGCCATGACTTGGTTTGATTCATTCTTATTTTAGACCTCAAATCATCAGATTAGATTATGAATTATGACGTCCAGAGGATCAGCAAGAAAAGAACAATAGAATTTCCTTTAAATCCATTGTTCTTTTTTGAAAAATGACCGTTAATTTCGGACATCATAAGTCGGCATCTATGACCTGAAGTGTAACTGAGTCTTGACCAATACCAATCCATGTTACTAGATTTGTACCCAAATAAGTTTTGAATATCCAACTCAAGGTAATCAAATTCAACAACACCGAGACTCAAATATGAAATTTACAGCACAAACAAACAAACAGGCGCGTAACCAGGTTGGGGGGGGGGGGGGGATTTGGGGGACAAATCTTCCGGGACAAAGTTAACAGAAATTTCTTCATTTTGCTAGGAGTTTTATGTAAAAATCCCCCCTCCCTCTGAATTTTCCATGTTAAATTTTTTTGTCCCCTCCCTCTTCGAATTCCTGGCTACGCCCCTGCAAACAATCAAACAAAAATGAGTAAATCGCAAGCAATTTTCAATAAAATGTTAAATCAAAACAACATCAAATGATTTTGTCATTATTTTCCAATCATGAAGTCGTGTA